CGCATGCTAATCCGCATTCAGCTACACTCAGAAGCTGACGTCGATGGAGGAGGAGAGGTCACCAGTGCCGAGGGAGCCCGGCGCTGGATTAAGGTAAGCAAATAAATGGTTAATTACCCATTTATTCGCAGCGGAATGGGGCCCTAATCCCCTAAAAGCTATAGTGTTCCTTTAACCACACAGGGTGGGATAAGGTGTTGGGAACTCTCAAATAACATTTACACATTAAAAACGGTTTAACACTGAATGGAAAGATGGCGCCTGGGAATTCCAAACACACTTTAATGAAGCGGTTATAATGCATACAGTGTACCTTTTAAGTACTATACTAGAGGGGCATTATGTTGAAAGTAATGACCTGGAATGTTTTTGTTAAACAATAAACGAAAGTCACCTTCGTGTTGCACAGGTATAATAAATTTTTATTTGTGTCTTTAAAATATATTTATTAAACATTGTTATTGTACTCTGTAGTGTTCATATCACCATGAGTGTGCACATATGAGGTCTGCAGTACTGTTTTAAGAGAAACCTCCTTTTCTTTATGGGAATTCTTTGAACGTTTACAGGTGAAAGATTTTAGGCAACACGTAATTTACTTATCAAACTGCTGTATGTCTCTATGTTATAATTATTATCATAACCTATTCTTCCATACCTGTTTTCACTAGTCTTTGGCTGCTGAAACAAACAAATGCTGGATCTCAAGGTAAAATTAATTTGGGTGCTGCAGGTACTATAGTCAATAAAATCCAAGTTTATAAGATGACTGTATGGAGAAAAAAAAAAGTTACTGGCAGTGAGTGGCTGCACAAACAGGGGTTAATGGTAGATTTACTAAATCGGTAACTCAGAAAATGAAACATTTATGGCTAAAATAGAGAAATAAGGAAACTTCTAAAACTTAGCTATTTTTTCAGATGCTAGTTTGGATTTTAATTTGAAATTCCATACCTGCCTTCCCATTATCTTGGACGCTCTGTACATTGTCCAAGTGCTCTCTCCTCTCCTTCTTCCTAAAATCCAATTGGCAGATTCAACTTCTAGGCAGATTTGAGAATGTGGTACAGGCCCCCCGGAACACATAATTAAAGTCCCCTTTATGTGGGACTGTCAGCAAACTCAGGGGGCTGTTGGCACCTATGCCATTCACTTGCCAATTTTCCATAATTCAATACTTGTTTTTGCAAATTAAAGTTTATTGTGATATAAGCAAGTGAACACATTCTTATTTTATGTCTTCTATGAATTCAGATATACACTCAGGGTTACTCACTCAAGTGAGAATTCAAAGTGAATACAATGTGAGTTTCAAATTTAAGGACAAAATAGCCGATCCGAAAGCATAGGTATAAGAGAATGTTTGCAGTCTCGCTAATTTTACCTTAACCCCTTAAGCACCAAACTTCTGGAATAAAAGGGAATCATGACATGTCACACATGTCATGTGTCCTTAAGGGGTTAAAGGACCACTATAGTCACCCAGACCACTTCAGCTCAATGAAGTGGTCTGGGTGCCAGGTCCCCCAGGTTTTAACCCTTTAGATGTAAACATAACAGTTTCAGAGAAACTGCTATGTTTACATTGCACGTTTAATTCAGTCTCTAATGGCTGTCTTCCTGACAGCCGCTAGAGGCGCTTCTGCAACGCTGGTTGCGAAAATCGTATTCAGCAGGAGAGATCACCAGCGCCGAGGGAGCCCGGCGCTGGATTAAAGTAAGTAACTCAAGGGGTTTTAACCCCTTCAGCGCCAAGGGAGGGGGGCCCTGAAGGTGGGGGGGACGAGTTTGTTTTCCTGACACTATAGTGATCCGATAAATTTGAATTCTCACTCTAGTGAATAACCCTGACTGAAATATTTAGACATAACAGTTGTCCCATATCTGAATGCACAAATGTATTAAATAAACAGCACTAGTATCTTGTAGCATAGCTGTGTGAAGAAAACATACCTCCAACTGTCTCTATTTACGAGGAAAAGTCCCTATTTCGTATCCTATTGCAGGGCCGGTCTGTCCTAAAAAAAACTGAAAATTTCCTTATGGGCTGTGGCATCTGGGGGCAGAAAGTGCTTATGCCGTTGAATTTTTTCCCCTTGAACTGTGACAGTCTGAGTGAATAAAGGAAGGAGGTGCTGGGGGCTGGTGAGCCACATTAAGGCTACTGACCACCAGAGGGAGCACTGTAAGTCTCCCTTCACAATTCCCAGTGGCTTTTCTGAGCTGCTCCACCCTTGCGCTCAAGCTTCTCCACCCATGCACTTAAGCTTTGAGCTAACCTCAAGCAGCAGGAAAAAAATGGCGACTTCACTTCCCACCTCCCATTGCTCCAACAACCTTCAGTGCCAGGTAGGCTCACATACTCAGCAGCCCATGGCTGGGAGTGATTTTGTGTGTGTATGTGCCTGCTAGTGAGTGAGCAAATATGTGAGCTCTGTAAGAGCTTGTCTGTAGTGAGCATGTGTGTGTCAGTGAGCTTGTTTATAGTGAGCATGTGCGTGTCAGTGAGCTTGTTTGTAGTGAGCATGTGTGTGTCAGTGAGCTTGTTTGTAGTGAGCATGTGTGTGTCAGTGAGCTTGGTTGTAGTGAGCATGTGTGTGTGTGTGTCAGAGAGTTTGTCTGTAGTGAGCATGTGTGTGTCAGTGAACTTGTCTGTTGTGACTTGTGTGTGTGTGTGTGTGTCAGAGAGTTTGTCTGTAATAAGCTTGTGTGTACCAGTAAGCTTTTCTGTGTGTGTCAGTGATCTTGAGTGTGTCGAGGGTCTGTCAGTGAGTCTATTTGTGTGTATCAGTCAGCTTGTGTGTGCCAAGGAGATTACCTGTGAGTCTGTGTATCAGTGAGCTTCCATACTTGTGTCAGTGAGATTGTCTGTGCCTGCATGTGAGTATGCTTACCATGTAATTACATTCTTTACCGTGAAAGGATCAATATTTTAATTTAAAAAAAGAAACATACCAATAACAAATTTTCTATATATATACACAAATTATACGTGTAAGTGGTTACTAAATAAACCCTTGAAAAAAATAATAGTCAGGGGAAACACAAATCTAGCTGTAATCTGTAATAAATAGAGTGCTTTATTGCTTTGTACACAATCACACCAGTGATATGAAAGCTGGGGGAGCTGAGTATATATTTCCAGTATCCAATGTAACACTGTATCATCTGTATCCAGTAAATGTATCAAATTTAAATACCTTCAAGGATGCAAAGAGAAAAACATAGTGTAATACTGAAAATGTTATTTAAACAAACCCCCTATAGCCTAGTGGAACCCTTACATTATATACTTGTGATTTTTGTCACCAATAACCACAGTACAAGCACAGTATAGCAGTGTCAGAGCTGTATTACCACTCCGTTTGTATGGTCGAGTCAGCCAGTCTCTCAGCAGAAAAATAATGATGGTCCAGACACTCATGTTCAATCCAGTGCGCAGATTTATTGGAGCAGAATCAAAACAACGTTTCGGCCCACAACAGGGCCTTTGTCAAGCTTGTTGTTTTGATTCTACTCCAATATATCTGCCCACTTGAACTTGAGTGCCTGGCCCATCAGTACTTTTTTACAAATCACATTGTGAGGATTGGCCAACCTCAGGCTTGGTTGCACCCTGGATCCAGGAGAGTGCGGTATCCATATTGGTAATAATAGTCTCTCAGCAGAAGCCAGAATCAGTGAAATGCAGACCCGAGAAACACCGGAGTCACGCGGTGCTGGAATAGTCAGGGAAACCCGAACTCTGCAAGCCACTCACATTTTCGCCCGCTCACAGTAGACTTTTTCAAGGTGTTTCTCCGGTCTGCAGTTCACCAATTTTGGCTTCTGCTGAAAGACTGGCTGACTTACCTCATCGAGACGCTTTCGGGCGCCTTCAAAACAGCAACTTATGCCCAAAGCCTTCAGCTAGCCCCAGAAAGAGAAGGAATTAATAAGCGACAGCCGCCGAGTCTGAAGAGCAGTGAGGTTAGCCCTTGTGTGGGTCTGGGCGTAGAGTAATGCACAACCTTGGCTTCAGTCTGCGACCATGCCAAAGAAATTCCCTGCAAACTCCTCCATCATACCGTCCATGTGGGTTGGCTGTTCCTGGCTTTTTGCCTTCCACCTAAATCATTGACTCCTCTGACGATGGTGGATGCCGTCTTGTCTTCCTGATGTTTTTGCCTTTATTTGCTCATTCTTTCAGTAGTGCAGCAACATTATGATAGACCAGTGGTGTCTATCTTTAGTTATTTCTATAGCATGTTCTATTGTAATCCATTCAGTTGTGCATCTTACCTGTTATTCAATGCATAGAATAACCAAATATTCACCTTGCCTAGCATTTCTTTTCAGATGGAATGTCTTGCATGTTGTACGTACCTAGACATGTCTTCCTACCCTGTTTATTACTTAACATTTAAAAAGGAAAAAAGAGAGGTCTTTGTTATTCAGAATGTTATATGACTAGGACAGTATATGAACCGTGTCTGCTAAGCTGATATTTTCTGGTTCTATTTTCTATGTGTTTCTTGCTAATGTCTCAATAAAAGAAAGATTGGCAACAAACAAAATACACAAATAGTCCATGTCATAAAGTGTTATTGTATTTCTTTCATACCTACTGACTTATCTCACCACATTTACAAATAAATTCATTGTCTGCAGCAAACATCAACTGGTTTTGGCTTCTCCAGTCTTTCTCAAGGTGTAAAATGAGCACTTGCCATTTCACACCTCGAGAAAAACAGAAGTAGCCAGGACCGGTTGGTGTTGGCTATAGACAGCGGATCACTTTGTTGTAATAAATGCTTTGCAAGGCAATTTGAGCTTTTCACACAGTTTAACTCTATATACTTTGTGTTTATGTGAGGGTTGTTTATTTTGAAGGGGATGTTAAAAAGTGTTAGCAAGAACCTAAAGTACCAGAAAGACCCCCAAAATATCACAAACAAGTTTGCTTTGTGCACTAAATAGTTATGAAACCTAAAAAAGTTTTGTAACAAAAAATATGGACTCCTAGCTCCCAAATATCAGTAGTCATAGGCAAACCACAAGCACTATAATGGATCATGATAAAGAGATATCTGTGGTTGGAGATTGCATCTGAGGTCCACTAGACCACCAAGGCAAGCTAGGATCCTGATATTGCTGGAGTGAAATGGTTACATTAGTTCTAAGAGGGGTGTTATATAATATCAGTGTTGCTGAGAAGGTAGAGGATGTGACAGTTTTCATACTTCAGAAACCCTTTAGAATAGTTTCCCAAACTATTCTAAAAAATAAATTAGCCAAATAGCTGTGTAAGCTGCTGGTAAATATAGTGTCAAAATAAAATAAAAATTTTCACTAATCCTCAATAACCAAGGCCGGGTCATTTCTTTTATACGTATATACGAGTAGACCAATAGGTCAGAGACCACCCAGGTGCAGTAATATACAATTAGTGAAAAAAGGTAATTACTTCCCTTTTTTATTTTAGGTCGGACTCGTAGCAAAAGGATTCCTATCAATCCTCAAAAAACAGATATAGATATAAGGTACACCTAAATAAAATACAGAGAACACTCATGGGGAATCGCCATATAACAAAGAATGGCCCCTAGTGATTGTAATGCACTCACAAGATCAATGAATTTTTCAAGCCCATCAATATTGCTTTAAATCTTCAGGAGATGATCATCATTCATTTAGATACACTTACAAAAAGTTGGAAGTTAAAAGCCCATCAACAAATCTCTGTGTTCCTCTGTCCGGTATGGTGTTTGGTAGAGAGGAATCACGGGGTGTCCGGCAATAAAAACAAATAAAATAAAAGGAAAGTAAAAAACAAACTCTACGCGTTTCGTCTACTCACATGTAGGCTTCCTCAGGAGAAAATAAATCATATAAAAAGTGCAGCACTTTACTTTCTGTAACATTTGTTTTTATATGATTTATTTTCTCCTGAGGATCTTGTGAATGCATTACAATCACTAGGGGTCATTCTTTGTTATATGGTGTTTGCCTATGAGTTTTCACTGTTTTTTTTTTTATTTATTTGTACCTTATATCTATACGGGTCATTTCTTTTCTCTTATCTCATGTGAGCACTGTGACAGGAAACCAAGCTGACTTTTTCACAATTCAATGTTTTTGGACAAAATATGCAATGCCCTGATGAGTTCCCAAAATTCAGTTTAATGTATAACAAAGAGGCGGATAAGGGAGGGGGTACAGTAATCATGAGCTGCCAATACTATATGGAAGAGGCACATAGAATTCTAGGGGACAGTTCTACGTATAAAATCTTAGACCAAGATCCCTCATCCACGTATTTAAAAGAACTTAACTGACTTTTATCAGCAGGAAAAGAGAAAAATATAATCTCCCAAGATGAATCCATTTTTTTATACAATGTGGATTGCAAAATAGCTATATTTTACTTTCTCCCAAAAATCCACAAGGATTTAACAAAACCCCTAGGCCGCCCTATCATTAGTTGTATAGGCTCTTTTTCTTCAAAACTTTCTGAATATATAGATTTCTTTTTACAGCCTTATGTCCAAACCATACCTTCTTACATTACAGACACCAGACACATTTTAGCTGATATATCATGGAAACATACTTACATCATGGCCACGGTTGGCGTATCTTCTTTATACTCCCGTATACCTCATCCGAAGGGATTAGAAGTAAATAATAGCCAGATAGATTTTCTAGTTGATTGTATACACTTTGTGTTAACTAGAAATTATTTTCGGTTTGATTCCACTTTCTTTTTGCAGTTGTGTGGCATCGCCATGCAAACAAAATTTACCCTGAGTTTTGACAATCTTTATGTATCTATTGGGTAAATTTAAATATATATCTTTGTGAGGCTCATGGGGGCAGTCTCGTCCTATGGCGGCACTACATTGACGACATTTTGATTGTATGGGACGGATCTACAGAAAGTCTCAACTCTTTCATCAAAGGTATAAATAACAATAGTTATAATTTTAATTTTACATCTGTTGTAGCTAAGGCTCAAATCAATTTTCTAGGTATAACTCTATATGTAGAAGAGAATCAATTGAAGAGTAAGACCTTCTTTAAGAGCACAGACTGTAACACCGCCATTGACAGAACAAGCTCACATTTTCTACCATGGATCACATTTTCCACATTTACCAAAAGGTCAAATGGCACAATTAAAAAGAAACTGTTCGGGTAAGAGTACATATAAGGAACAAGCTATGATTATACAAAAACGCTATTTGTAAAAAGGGTATGATCCAGATAAAATGAAAAAATATGAAGAATATGTTGACTCATTAGATAGGACATCCTTGTTGACAAATAATAAGAACAATAAAAAGGATAGGCAAAACAATAAAAAATTTGAATATGCATTTACAACTAAATACAACACACAAGCCAGAAAAATAGAACATTTTTTGAAAAGACAGTGGCATATATTACAGAGAGATGACATATTAGGCCAGGTTATCCCAGACCGACCCACAGTAATATATAAGTAAGCTGAAAATGTAACAGCCATACTAGCTCCCAGCTTGGTAAAAGAAAAAAAAAGAAAAAAGACTATTCGATCTACAAGGTTTTTATAGTTGTGGAAGGTGTTCCACATGTAAACACCAAAAAAGGAAAACCAACAGCTTTGAAGGCACGTACACTAATAAAAAATATAACATAAAGAAATCTATACAGTGCTCCTCCGCTTTCGTTATATATTTATTACAATGCAGATGTGGATATTGGGAGAACCACACACAAATTACATACG